GTGTACGTGTGTGTGTGTGTGTGTGTGTGTGTGTGTGTGTGTGTGTGTGCTTGTGTGTGTGCGTGTGTGTGTGTGGGTGCGTGTGTGTGGGTGGGTGGGTGGGTGGGTGCGTGAGTGTGCACATTTATGTGTCTGTATCAGTACACCATTACCACATTTCCTCAGTGCTACTTTTTCTGTCTGAGTGTATTGTGAGGTCTGCCCTGCATCTCCCTGACTTCTCATACTATCATGAAAGTTGTTTGTAGTGACACGTTTAAAGTTAAAACATCAGTTTTCTCACCGAGAGCTTTGGACCAGCCACTCTGGCATGGTCTTTCTCAGTAGACTGACCCAGTGAGGCCTGTCACTTGGAGCACGTTGGCAGAACGTACTGCACCTGCGCGAAACTTGTAATGTATTGTGCACAGCACTTCAGCAGAACACCTCAAATGAGGTCATACGTCAATGTATCAATACACTCTGTCTTTTTTTTCCAAATGTTATGTCGGAAAAAATATTGTCTGCAACAGGCAAAATTCTAATGCAACATTGACCAAAAATCCAACCAAAACCATGAAAAATGGTGGTTTTGCGCAGGCGCAGTACGTTCTGCCGACGTGCTGTCACTTGGCTTCTTCGAAGCGTGACGTCAGCACTGATTTCTCGTTTGTTTCTCGTCGCAGGTGATCCACTACGGCTCGAGCGGCCGCAGCAGCCCCACCACCCCTCCCCCGGGCGTGCTGTCCTTCCGAACCAGCTTCAACGAGACCCACCCGCCCGGCCGACCGGTCCGACAGACACTCATAAAACAGTCCGTGTAAACACAAGTCATGTTAAACACAAGTCATGTTAAACAAAAGTCATGTTAAACACAAGTCACGTTAAACACAAGTCATGTTAAACACAAGTCATGTTAAATATGCATCGGTTAAGGTTAGGCATCTAAGGTATTAATAAGATAAAACAGTCCGTGTAAACACAAGACATGTTAAACAAAAGTCATGTTAAACATGCATCGGTTAAGGTTAGGCATCCAAGGTATTAATAAGATAAAATTGAGCAATCATTCAAGCAAAAGCAGTTATTACGGCAACTTGATGCCCAAAAGCAATTATATTCAAGCAACTTGATATGATGATTTTAGAAATGGTCAGATGTTTCAGGTAGTATCCACCACCTTTCATCAGTGATACTAAGAGACTGCAGGAGAAATGCAGGTTTATATACAAGTACAAACTAAAACAATGTTGATAAACATGCCCTGGAGTGTGGAAAAACAAATTAAAGTCACTTCAACATGCAGTATATATGTGGAGTTCGAAGCAGTTCAAAATGCTCTTCATTGAAGAGCTAGTCTTCCACTGGTCATAACAGAGAAGACAGATGCTATGTACAGTATTTACAGAGGACACAGTATTTCACTTTTTGCTGGGCCCGTAAATAACTTTCCCAAATTGATTTTTTTGGTCCCCTAAGGCCACATCGATTTAATTTTATGGATGACATCCGCGCGCGCATTGATTTTCGCCCGATCTCAAAAAAAAAAAAAAGATCACATATTCCGAGGCTCTGGCCTGGCTTTAGGCCTGGGTAGTCCATCGTGGTGATAACTCTGGTGGACGGCAGACAGGCTACCGAAGCCCCAAGACTCAATAACTCAGTATAGTGCACGTGTCGATTCATATATTCCGCAAAAATCCAGCATGTGTCGGCCTGTCGTATACGTCGCTATGTAATGCGCCAAATTCACAATACCAGCTTTGTATTCCTGTGGTTTAGTAGCATTTTTATTTTTGGCTGGATTTTTCTTTTTTTCGCCCGCACGCACTAGTTTGGGGGTCTTCAGAGGATGTCATCCATAAAATTAAATCAGTGTGGCCTAAATGGTTATAATATTGGGCGGTTTTGTCTGTAATTGCCATAAAATGTAACGTTTGTACATTCTGGTTGTGTATGATATTATTCACATTTTTATTGTATATATTTGACGAAAAAACTTAAGGGGTTTTTCAAATTTTCATATTGCCACTGGCTGTAATGGTCTGCACACTTTGATGTATATGGTGGTGGAAAGTGCTTCTTAATTTATTAACTACTAACGAAAAGATTTGTTGTATAAATTGAAGGATTTATCTGAATCAGATACACAATTATAAGTTTATAAATGTAGTAATATTGTAGGAAGTGAATTCAAGAGATTTATTTATTTGGGAGCAAGGGTGGCGAGTCCTCAACCGACCTAAAATAGTGGCTAAGATTTTTCTTAATCTTTTTAAATTTTTGATGTACTTATTTCCAAGACAGTATTTTGTTTGTTTACTTTTCATAACCGGTAAACCGCCTTTAGGCGTAACACACCAGTTCTGTACAGTAAGTACAAGCTATGTAAGACCGGACTGTAAGGTTTGAATCACTCACACCGGGAAGGCCCCTATTCTTTTTTTGAAAGGTGCGGTGGGTTCTTTAACGTGTTTGGGGACCTCCATCTAACGTCTTATTAAAAAAAATCCCTAACCAAAAGTTGGTACTGAAAAACTGTTTAGAAATCATTGCTATTATTTCGTTTGTAATTCATATCAATGCAGCAAATAAAAGTCCACAATTAACATCTACATTGTTATTTGTATATAAGTACATGAACCGGTGGACATGAGAAATACCTGCACAGCTCCAGTTCTACCCGCACTATACCGCATAATAATATGCAGGTGATATTTCAAGCCTTGTACATGTATAACTGTAAGTTGGTTTGTTATATATTCGGCAAGATGTATGCGCACAATTCTTTCACATGTATTTCTGTATGGTACATGTCTGTTCATTTTTTGTTCTGAGTTGCAGTATATATTAAGAAAAGTGTCATAGCCGTAATCGTTGATATGTTAACCTTTTTACTGCTTCCTAAAGCCATAATCAATAGAAATTTGGTGGCAAAGTCTACTTCAGCAGGGGGAGGTTAAGTATAGAATGAACCTGTTTATATATACAAGTTAAATTGTCTGTTCATTTGTTTGACTGAATATTATTAAATTGATTGATTGAAATCTTACAAAAAGCTGTGTTAAAACGCAGAATGTCCTGTAAAATTTATGAAGCCTATTCAGTTTTCGAATGGAATTACGTAATGCTATAAGGGATGACTGTCACCTCATTAGCATAATTGCTAATAAAATATGACAGATGTGAAATTTGCTGTGTTGTTTTTTCAGTGGTGTTCAGTGTATGTTTGTGTTTGTGTTTGAGAGTGAGTCTCTGTATACGTGTGTCTGTCTCGGT